GTGGATTGGAGACAATGGCGCTTTTGATGCCTTGAACCTTGTCATTGAAAAAATTAGCAAACTCATTGCATTTACGTTTGGAAGTAAGCTCTAATGGCATCTGAACAGGGGGGTTTGTTAATCTATTAACTGTTGAAAACAGAACACGCAGATTGTTGCTGCAGCCTTCAATCATTTCAGAAAAATACCTTTCTCTCGTACTACGTAGCACCCGGTTAAACTCGCACAACTTATCTTTGAAGATCTCGTAATCTACCTGGAGGTTGGACTTGCGCCACTTCCGCTCGGCCCTCCGGCACTTTCTCTTTTGTGCCCTGACCGAGTCTGCTTTAGCCCACGGCGCCTTCTGCTTATTTTTCACTATTTTAACCTTCACAGGGGCAACGGTATCCAGAACATTCAAAACACTAGAGGTGACAGAGTTAAACAGTTCATCTACAGTAGAATACGATGCATTCTCAAAAATTATCATTTCCATAAATAGTTCACTCGTATTTTCATTTATGCGCCTTCTTCGAACAGTTGCAGAGTCCACTGGTGGTTTGTTAGTGAAACACATGTCAAAAAAAACACAGAAATGATCCGAAAGAGCAACATCGACCACGTTTACATTTGAAATAATCACCCCCTTTGTAACTAACAGATCTAGAGTGTGCCCTCTGCTGTGGGTGGGGCCACTCACATGCTGAGTGAGATCAAAGGATTCAAGTACAGAACTCAGCTCATTTGCATTTCTGTCATCAACATTATCCACATGAATATTAAAATCACCTGTAATAACCAAACTATCAAAATCTGTGCATACAACTGAAAGCAACTCGGTAAAATTATCAATAAAACTGTGACATGACTGCGGTGGCTTGTATAGGACAACGAAGAGTATTGGAGGAGATTGTTTTTGTTGTATTTTAAAAGACACATATTCAAATGACAAAAACTTCCCAAGAGACATTCTATGGGAGACAAAGTGGTCTCTAAAAATGGCAGCTAAGCCTCCTCCTTTTTTGTTTTCCCGTATTTCAGATTCAAACTTGAAATTTGGTGGTGATGCTTCTATTAAAACTGCATTTCCTGTATTTTGGTCAAGCCAAGTTTCAGCCATGAACATAAGATCAAGATTATGAGAAGAAATAAAATTATTGATTAAAAAAGACTTGTTACAAAGAGATCTGACATTAAGCGTAGCAAGTTTCAAAGTTTCAGGATCAGCGGTTGCGGTCGGCTGATTCTTACACGGAACAAGAATTAGATTTTCCAGATTAGACTGATTAACTCCAGATGTTTTTCTGTAATGTATTCTTTGTGTTATCACTAAGGGAATGGCACAGGTGGCTTCATGACAGGGCCCCAGCCGGGTCTCTCCTCTAACTAGACTGCCAGTGGCTGCGAAGCAGAGACCCTGTGCATCCTAGTGTTTAGAGAAAAGAGGGGTAGGGGAAGGCGGGGGAGGAGGATGGAGAGGTGGGTGGCTTTTGGGTGTTGAACGAGGGGGGCAGGGAGGTGGAGGGGTTTTTGGTGATGGGTTAGGGGAGGGGCAGGCTGAGTTGGGTGGTGGACGAGGGGGGAGTGGAGGTGGAGGGTTTCTTGGTGCTGAGTTAGGGGGGGGGGAGGTGGGCTAAATGAGCAGGAGGGGGGGGTGGAATACTTATGGGGTTAGAGGAGGGACGGGTGGATTTTGTGGGAGAATTTGAGTTGGACGCCCTAGGTGGCTTTGGAGGTACGTATGGGGAGTGGTTTTGAATGTTAGATAGAACTCTTGATCTGGCTACAGTGGGTGTGAGAGGAATATTCTTCATCGCTGATCTTATCATGCCTGCAGAGTGTTCCGGTAAATCCAGTAGTGAAGGCGGGGATAGAAAACAAAGGGAAAGGTCGTCCTCATTTTCCCTAGATGGAGTGGATGTAGCGGGGGGGACCCAAGCCGGGTCCATGGAAGGTGATGAGAGAGTCTTTGGTGGAGACAGAGGTGGTTGAGGAACCCCCAGTACAGGCCTGACTGTAGCCTGGAGTAATGGGGGAAGCTTCACGGGAGCTGTAGGTGGGGAAGGTGCTGCTGAAGATGACGGAGCCCATATGAACCGACCCGGACTCTGAGGAGCACAGGAGGTAGCCTCTTACTGGTTCCAAGAGTCAGAACTAAACATGGGGAGGCAGCGTTTGAGATTTATGGAGCTAAAATCTGGAACAATCTTCCTGAAGATGTGAGGCTAGCATCTACTCTGGCAATTTTTAAATCAGGGCTAAAAACTGTTCTTTTTAGCTGTGCATACGGCTGAAGGATTCTATTGATACATACTCTTTTTTTTTTAATGCATTGTGGTTATTTATTATTTTAATCCCGTGTGTGCTTTTAATATTTTAAGTTTTTTTTTTTTTTTTTTTTTTTTTTTCCATTATTTGTGATTTTATTCTGTTTTTAATGTATTTATTGATGTCTCTGATTTGTGTGATATTATGTGGGTTGTGAGGCGCTTTGAGTGGCCTTGTGTTGGAAAGGCGCCATACAAATAAAGTTGATTGATTGATTGATTGATAATATCATATAATAAACATATAATCAGTGACACCTGTTCTGCCACCTGTTTCAGTGACTAGTTAAACACTGTTCCATTATTTTTAGTTTATTTTGCACAGTCAATGAGTTAATCAGCATTAGTTTAATAACCTTTGGTGTAGCCCTCTTCGGGTGGCTATGCATCAATTGCTCAGCAGTTAATCGTTAACTGTTTAACTGTCGGTTAAAACTGCTCCTGTGGTCTTTTAAGTGTTTTGTGACTTATGTTTGTTGTTTAAACTCTGTTTTAGAGATACCAGGCAGAAAACACTAGTTTAGCAGAAATTGTATTAGTGTCAAACATAGATTTTAGCCTGGTTCTCTAATTTTAAGCCAGTTATGTTTAAATGCTGGTGTAAGATTGAGCCTGGGACAGTCTTGATTGACAGCCCTCCTACCATGATTGTTTGGTTGGACCGGAGTAGTTACCCAGCAGGACTCTTAACGCCCTTCAAGCTGAATAAAGGGACGTGAGTGAGCAGCCTCGGCTTGTGGATGTGCACGCGTGTTTGAGACCGGTGTGTGACTGTCCGCTTTATCCGCAGCTGCACTAGTGCAGGGGTTCCCAAAGTTTTTAGCCTGCGACCCCCATCATAAATGTGCTGCTCCCCCGTGAGCCCCACCTCAACAGTCCTTCCCGTCAATGAGCATGTATTTCCTTGATACGGAGTAACGCAGAGACTCGCGCCACTGAGCTGCACTGTCCAGCCCAGAAAAGGAGGCTTGTGTACTTTTACTCATGTAGTGACACAGTGATGGGCTTGGTGGGCTCCCTTCTTAGCAGAGGTGGAGCGCATTTCTTGCGGCTCGCCCTCTCTGTTCTCATACCGTGGTAAAGTGGCCCGGCTTTTTGGAGTCAGCGGTAAAGAGGTCCGCACATTAAAAGCTGGCGGCCGCTTTCTGCTGTTACTTCATGCGGTTCATCCCCGCGGCTTCTCTTTCCAAAGTTACTGTAAGTAACAGCATAAATCGGCCACCCGCTTTTAATGTGCGGACCTCTTTACCACTGACTCCGAAAAGCCGGGCCTCTTTACCACTAGTGCTGTGGGAACCACTGCACTAGTGTAGCGCACCCGGCCCAGCAGAGTGGCGCACCTGGCCCAGCAGAACGGCGCACCCGGCCCAGCAGAACGGCGCACCCGGCCCAGCATGCACCATATCCCCCCAGCAGAGCTGCTCAGCAGGGCCCAATTTGCACCAATTCCCACCCCCAAACCAGCGGCATGTAACTGAACCTTAAGGACTGCATTTTTCCCCCACCCTGACCAGGCCCCTTCGGGGTCTTTTAGCATTTTTTACCACCAGTTTTAAAGCTTTTATTGCTGGCCATTTTAATTCGAGCAACAGAACATTTTTAGAGCATTTTATCATTACTTGAATTAATAAAATTATATATTTTTTTAAAGCCTATGCCTGTGTACATTCATTTTTAAACAGTTAATGGTTGCTCCGCACCAAATATATATTTTTGTATAGCAGGGCAAATGTACTCTGTATATTATTATTTCACTATTATTTTACTATTATAGTTTCAGTCAAGCTTTTCACTCTCTTTGCCAAAAATGAATTAATTGTCAAGAAGACCTGTATTAAAGGTGCAAGATGCTTAGTTTCCTGGCTCGTAAAGACCGAGTTTTGCTAGCTGTTGATGTACGTTAACATACACAGTATCACGAACCAACAGTACATTAATCAACGGTGAATATGTATTTAATCTGTTTAAGAATGTGTGCAAAACACAAAAGAAGTTAATGAGGATTTATTACAAAAGTGTTCCCCTGAAAGAGTGGACTATTCACAGTGAGTGTATAGTGTACACTCTGGATACAAAACTATGAACATGAGATTATGTACATGACGTTTACATATAGCCTAGCTAAACGTAGTCCTTTGATTTGATCAAAGCGTCCATTCTATACAGTAGCATAGTTGTAAAACAGTGCAAAGCTTTCAACTCATGTGGAATGTTTAAGATACAGACTACTGTGATGTTTGTGATATAGAAGGAGACAATAATACCTGAACAGCTTTTTGTGTAAAGCTGACTTTAGAGGCTCTAATTCTGCCTTCAAATGTTTCCATGTTTGGAAAAAGGTCAGAGTTCAGAAGAGTGATTCATGATGCTGCTAAGGTCAGCTGTTGCAAGCAATTAATGGAAAAGCTCAGGTATCAGTGCAGCGTGTTCATGTGTGCAGCTGTAGTCAGCTCTAATCAGAGCTAAAAATGAAACCAACAGAACAACAACCAAGTAAACAGGATTAACACAGAATCTTTCACATTACGTGCTGTATATTTACACTCTGCTTTGACTTTTACACTTATTTATCATCGCTGTTGGACGATGGCAGAGCAGGGGACGGGTTTCTCCCATGTCCAAGTTCAACATGTGACATCAAAGATGAATGTGACATCAAAGATGAATGTGAGATCATAAGTGAATGTGAGATCACAAGTGAGCATGATCCGAGCTCTGGTCGCTCTCAGGGCTGTCGTCGTTGACTAGCGAGTCCGTGGAGTGGTGCAGTGCTGTAATCCCAGAGAACTCTGATGACAGTAACGCTCCCTTCTTCACGTTCACCAGTTCTTTCTCTCGAGCTGCTGCCCCCTGCTGGCCTCCTTTCACTCTCTTCCACTTCATCCTCCTGTTCTGGAACCACACCTTTACCTGCAAACAGTAACAACATTGTTTATTAGAAGTATTCATGGATAAAAACATCTTGGTTAATGTGTTATAATTGCTCTGAATCATTCTCCATAAAGGTGACGTCCTGTTCCAGACAGGGACCGATCGTGTGATTTTCTCTGGTTTAGTCTTAGTTTGATGAACATGCATATATAAATCCTATTATCTGGAAATAAGTGAAACTCTAGGTGTTTAAACTTATGTGAATACTTTTAGTGAAGCTGAGTGATGTCTGCTGACTACCAATCCACAGAGGAAATCCAAAAGTCAAATGTAAAATGTTATGCGTTATTATCCCCGTTTTGTAATATGTCCTCTGCATTTGACCCATCCTGCTGTAGCACTCAAGCCAGGAGCAGTGGTCGCCGTAGTAACAGGGACAAGGACCAGAACTGGAACATGCAAAGTCAACTCAGACCACTCTACCACCGTGTTCAAATGTATGTTTTATTGGTGTGTTTAAGCAACTGTTCAGGAGCCGCATGTCCCTTGGATCAGATTATATATATTTTGATCATTTTCTGCAAAAAACATTAGCTCTTCTATTAGCACTGTTTAAAAATACTAACAGGGTTGGCGACAGTGGCTCAGTTGGTAGAGCATTGGCCTTTGGGCCTGAATGTCACGGGTTCGAGCCCACCATGAGACCTACTTCATGACTCCCACTGATGACTGCTGTCGTTGTGTCTTTGGGCAAGACACTTAACCCCACTTTGCCTGAAGCCCCCGCCGAAAGATCAAAGCTTCTGTGGACTCACTGCCTGACTAGGATCAGTGAGGGGCTGGTGCTATGTGGACCGGGTGCAGATATGACTGCAACCCCCCGACCCAGAAATGGATTAAGGGGAAGAAAATGGATGGAACAGGTTGGTTGAGGGATTAGCACTCTTTTTTTCTCAACAAGAAGGTTCTGGATTCAATTCCAACTCCAGACAGGGCCTTTCTGAGTGGAGTTTATCTCTGGTTTTCTCCAGGTGCTCCAGTTTCATAGCCTGACTCTCGCCAGACCATATAGTTCCGCAATGCTCCACCAGAGCCGCTTCACTTCACGCACAAGGGTCTGGGATCAAGCGCATAGCAAACTCCTTCAGCAGATCAGAAAATAATCGACCAATCAGGATCGCCAGTGTTACGTTGGGTTTGCACCGCCTTCTTAAGCGTGTCTCATGCGTGTCATGCGTGTCTCACAGAGCCCTGTGAGTAACTATTTGACTCTTGGGGCTGAGAGCTGAAGTGAAGGGGGTTCTTTCTTTTTCACTTTTCTGTCTGAAAAAGCTGATCTAAAGATGTGACAGAGTCCATAAATACATGATGTGAAAACTAGTGGTAGGGGCAACTGTTTTAGACCCAGGAATTAGAGTCATGAGTTTATTATGGAGTTATATTGGTGTGGTCTGAATGTTATGTACCCCAGCTTTAAGCCATTTGATTTTGTTCTTTGGTGCAGTTTGCTACGTTGTTAATTCAATGTCTGTGAAAGTTCTTTTTCTCAGATCTGTCATATGTGACAGCTCTGATTCAGTCTCCACCTCCACTTTCCCTGACTCTACCACTTCCTCTCGCAGAGCGATGAGTAAGCTGTTGCCCAACACGGACTCCCGATCAGAGGGGCGACTGTGTTTATTTTTGGGGGGTGTCTTTCGCAGGGGTCAGATGCTCAGGAGGTTTTCTGACAGCACAAACGTTTGTCTTGGTCTGAGTATCACTGTGGATTCTGTGCTCTGAACTTAACACACGCACACACTCATGGAACTCTGACACTAATCCCAGTTCCAATAACGCAGAGCCTTTTCCACTGGCAGCAGGCACAGTGAGACGACTGCTCTGTTGTAAAACTGTGTAACGAAACAGCTCTGCCAAGAGGTCCACTCAGTTACAGCTTTGGAAATCATTTAAATCTTTACATATTTAACTGTGTTAATATTGGTAGAGTCTCATTTAATTTTGTGGCAGTTATTGCACAATTTGGTGCCATTTTACTGCTAACTTCAAATGCAATCAATGAGCTTTGATGAATATGAGCAAAAACTGTGATTTATGTCAAATTATGTTAAATATAGTGTAGGGTGAGAAAATGTCAGTTCTGTACCTGATATTGGAGAATTGGATGAAAACAACCATGTAATAAATACAATAATTATAGCTTTATTTAGGGGCACCAGGGAATAACTACCAACTGATAACGTGCATATGACGTCACAATATCAATTAATTGGCTCATTTATTGATTAAGTAATCTCATGAGTCCTTTCATTATTTAATTAGCTAATTAGTCCAATTCTCTTCAATAGAATCTGAAGGTAGTGAATTCTTTTACAAATCAGTGACCCAATTTCTGGAGTTAAAAGTACAAATATCACTTTCAGACAAAGATGGTTTTGTAGATTTAATGAAGTATACGCAATACAGACTAGATATGAAATATGCAAATTGTCAAGAATAACATGAAGGAAACGTTGATTTCAAGATACATTGTTAAAATGCTAGGCTAAGGTGAGCTTAGCAAGACCTTTGTCTATGAATGGATTGGTATAGGCTGAGGCCTGCATGTGTTCAGCCTTGGTAGGAGAAGTATTCTTTGAAGTATAGGTTTTAATAAAGCCAACAGCTGTGCGTAGCAAGAGCGCAGATCATACAACCAGAATAGCCTTTGGTGAATAGCAGTCCTTGGGTCTTGATGGCGTTGGATGGAGGCTTCTTGTCCACGGGGCCTGGACCGTGCGGCTGCATCATGTGGCTGAACCAAGTCCTCCCACGATCCACAGTCTAGGTGCCAAAACTCAGAAACTTCTTCAGGTTGAAGCTGGAGGCTATTGAAGGGTTGTGGAAGTCCTCTCAAACGTGGAGCTGAGGTTTGAGGCCATCTAAGGTTGCCTAAGCAGAGCCCAGGGAGGTCTGGTCACTCCGTGGTTCCAAAGTAGACTGGTTTGTCTTCCCTGTGGGTCCTTGTAAGTCTTCACATCTTGTAGAGTTGTTGGGGGAAGGGTGTTGCCATGGCACTTATCTTAAGACATTCTTACCCACAATAAAACCTGAACCACAAGGATTTACACACAGTGGAGACAGAAGTTATAATATGTCTCAATATACAACAAAATGTCTTTGATTGAGGAAAGAGGTCATTTTAATTTATCCTACAATAGTACTACTTTAATCTCCACAAGGCACCATGTGCATCAGTCACCACATAATAAGATACTGCTGACAAAAGCTCAGCAGTATCCTACTTTGAAGCAAATATTATGTACACTGGTCCCTGGTGATGTGTTCGAAATATAACCCACCATAAGGCACATCCACTCAGTAGAAGCTCTATGTTTTAAAGACCTTATGACGGGTTTGATTTATTTAGAAATACAGTTTTAATACCATTTTATATTAGAAGAGAACTACTAAAGGTTTCAAAATCAGTTTTTGTTTTTTTTGTCTGATCCCCCCAAATCGAAATAACCCCATAGCAACGCCCTTAGAAACGAAAAAACTTCACAGCCCTTGGTGACGTCAGAACGGGTACGTTTCAATGCTGTAAGTTGTTTACAATTTGGTATTCGTTCTTTTTTCGCGGATATTCAAGATGACAAGGCCGTGTACAGCGAGTATGAGATAACTACTAGAATATCTCTTTTTGTTGTCACTGAGATAGTCCAGTGGTTGTGTCAATGGACTGCCAATCCAGATACTTGGGTTCAAATCCCACCTCAGACACTTTTTCACTCTCAAAACGGCAATTTATGTGTAGTGAGCAATTGTCACCTGTAGAGAGCAGTATTGTGTTGGGCATCAGTGGAGAGAAGAGAGAAAAGGCAGTCCTGTGGCATAGATCCATGGTTTTCAATGCATGGGCGTAACCCGCTGTGACGTCACACACAGGTTAGAGCATAGACAACTTAAATTCATGAAAAACACGTTCTTTTTATAAAATATAGAATTTTTTTTGCCGGAATCTCTTTCAGATTGACATTGTCATGCAATTTTGATATCCACAATTTTTTTTTTAAAAACCCGTCATAAGGTCTTTAAGTCTACCCCTCACCATACACTTTTCTAACCACCTGAAGTCACGACTGCTGAAGTGAGATCACAGAGATATCAAGACATTTCCTCACTGTGGGACGAGGATATCTTAATCTTAATCTTTAGAGAGAGATTTAAGGAGACGCCAGAGAGAGAGGTCAGAGTGAGAGCAGATAGAGAGACAAGAGTAAGAAAGATTTAAGAAGAAAAAAAGTTCAGGATGACAAGGGACACTAAAATCCCCACAAAATCTGATCTTTATTAAAGCTGTAGGTTCTCTGTCAGCTGAGGTCGTGCTGTTTTAATTTACATTGAGTTCTACGGGAGTTTATTCTGGGTAGCCCTCGTGAATTTAGTCTTCAGTACCACGAGCGCCCCCTGTGCCCATAGGTGGGACAGCTATAAGCTAGTAATACCCTATCCAGTTATTATAGACCCATGGGGCAGACGCACTCCACACTGCCACATTCATTTAAACCATCCTTTAATTCTCACTCAGTTTTAACTATAAATCTGTAAGTACTTACTATGTTACATTGTAATGGCATTTCACAATAATTAGTCATGCTTTGTTTTTACTCCAAACACTTGGCATCTTTTAACATGCGCAAGTGCATCAATATAAGGCAACATGTCCTAAGTGGCTGCCTCATTTAGAATGTATTTTAAGAACTTGTGTGTTAGCTTTGAGCGCAGCTTTGTTTTTATTAAGGCTCAATACATAAAAAACTACCGAAAGGTAGGTAGTCCTGAAAAAAAAAGCATCAAACTGACCATGATTTCCCACAGATTTGAAAGTAATGTGGGGGGCCCCCCCCCACGGGTGGGGGTGTGTATGTATCTGGGGGGGGGGGGGGGGGGCATGAACACAAAGAGAACTCACATTGTAACATGCTACAGAGCCTTGCGAAAGTATTCGGGCCCCCTTGAACCTTTCAACATTTTGCCACATTTCAGGCTTCAAACAT